CGCATCACCTGTCGCGCTCTCGCAAGTCGTTGTTTCCGCGGTCAGAATTCTAGATCGCGGAAGGTGTGCGCCGCTCCCGAAAACAATGGGAGAACCGAGACGTAATAATTTCGACACAAGCGAGGCGTTTGCCTAATAGACGGCGGCGGCGGCGACGACGACGTTGCAACGCGTGCGTCAGCCGCTCGCAGCTTCAGTAATTAGTCTGCCATTGCAGGCTGTGTTGCGCGGCGTAATAGACCTGACCCGCCTTCTACATTCCTGAAACTTCGGCCGCAACATCGCGGCGTTACAGTTGTGTTAATTACACAGCGGCGCGGCGGAAAATCGTCGTACGGCGTAAACGCGACGCAACGCGCGCGTCACCTGCGTAAGCACTTTGCGAAGCCGCGCTAGAGTGCACGCGTGCATGCACACGACGCTGCCCTGCGAATTGCATAATTCGCGATAAAGGAGATGCGCGACAGTGGATGTTATTTATAGCCTTTATTATCCCTCCTCTTTGCGCTCCGAAGTTCAAAATCCGCTGCGTACGAAATTTCGCGTGTGAAATTTCAGAAATGTCAACTTATTAAAATTTCTGTTATTTTACGTTTATATGTCGGATTACATTGTGCGCGCAATATGAGGAGTTGATTATTATTTTGGATTGTATTATGTTTTCAAATGTATACAATGAAAGTTTGATAGTATAATATTTTGTCAATTGAGAGCTGTGTCCAAATTATAAATTGATTTTATTCAATCTTTTCACGAGGAAGAATTTCATTAAGAAATCGTCTTTTGCAGATTTTTTTGTCATATATTGGAAATATTTGTGTGTATTATATGCATGGTAAATATTTTCTCGATACAAAGTATGGTATTTTTGCAGCAATACTAAAAATGTGAGGAATATAGAAAAAAGAGAATTTTATTTTACTTGTTCCTAGTGTGCAGTATTTTTTTACATTTTTTTCGTGTCAGAGCTAGAGGAAAATATCAGTTATTTAGCGTAGTGTATCTTTCAAAAAATTCTATATATTTTATTAAATTTGTGTACAGCGCATTCGTCGTGACATCAATTGCGCGTACTCGTACGGGATACATCAAAATAGCTCTTTGTAAAATGGAATCCAAAGCTTTCAATTGCGCGTAAATAACGCTGCCACTCATTAGTGCGACAAAATCGCGCCATTATGCAGAAACGTGAAATGTAACGCGGTCAAAAATGAGCGGTAATGAAACTCGGCTTTAAATGTACTCGACGGAAACTCGATTACCGGCGCATAAATTCGCTACGTCGATTAAATCCGCGCGAGCGTGCGTACATTAAAAAGTGGCTAAAATCGGAATTTATCGCGCTACCGGCCTCTCTCTTTCTCTCTCTCTCTCTCTCTCTCTCTCTCTCTCTCTTTGTTACTATGTACAGGACGGTCAATTTTCACGAGTACCTGAAGAAGAGTGCCTCTCGCAAAGTAACGCGCGCCGTGTTTTGCCATCGACCTGGCGCTATCAAGGTGCATCAGTCGGGCGCGAGTGACATCTCTTTTTTTTTTTTTCCTTGCTGCAACGGCCGCCGAGGTTGTCCCGCGGCGGCAATATTTCGCGCGCATGATTGGACAAAAAGCAGCCTCGAGTGGTCTCGGGGTGTGCGGCGGGCGGGTGCACGCCGCGCGAAGAGGATCAGAGGGAGGGCAGATGCTCACTCCGCAGCCTCACGCCCCGATACAATGGGGCTGGATGCACGGGGAAAATAATGGCAGTAAACCTATGGACCGACTCAATAGGGTTCCACCTTTCTCCTTTCTTCTTCGTCGCCGCTCCATCGAGATATCTCTTCCCCTTCGCTTTCCCTCTCGTCTCCCCGCACGCCACGTCTCTCTCTCGGTCTCTCGCTTTTCTTCTGTTTACGCCAAAAATCCACAATCGCTAAATAATAGCACGATCCGCACCTTGCAATTTTCCCCGCAAACATTTATCCAGCTTTCGAATGAGCATAAAATCGAGATGAACATGATGCATGAAGGCGCGTGAGATTTTTGGTATATTTTTGAACTGCTATTTTTATCTCGAACCTTTGTCATTTTCGGTAACGTTGTTTTTTTCTTTAATCTGCTAAACTGATATAATATATTTTTCACATAAAATTAATAATATTAATGGGAAAGTTCAAACCTCGATCAATATTATAAAATTAAATGTGTGATAAAAATAATGTTTTACTTTAAAAGTTGAGTTTAATAACAATTTTTAGCCGATCATGCTTGGTATAAAATTGAATCTACTATTATTACGTATTTTCTTTGTTCCATTATACATGCATTTACTGTTTTTGCTTCGTGCTACATCGACAAACGTTACCGAAGTTGCGCGTTGTAACAGATATCCACCTTCCTGGTCCAAGCGTCTCAGCTTTCCTCGGATCTCTTTCACGCTCGCATCTTCCCATGCCCCCCCCCCCCCTCTCTCGCATTGTCTTTCTCTACTTATCCCTCTGTCTCTCACTCGCTCTCGTCCGGTCGTTCCGTGCTGCCAGGCCAGGAGAAGGCATACGCCCAGCATTGTGCTGATCCTGAGTTACGTCGGAGTGGCAATTGTGTGTCAAGTTTACGGTCGAGCGCTATTCCATTGACTGTTGCGCATGTATCTAATGTGTGTCGCGGCATGAGCGACGGCTCGTTCGGGCAGGGAAGGGCAGAGGGACGGCAGGGTGCGGGACGCAAGGATGCAACGTGGCTCGCATCAAAGGAAGAATTACTGGGAACTAGTTTTCTATAGCCTACGCGCCGGCTTCCTTAGGTAAGGTCAGAAGGATGATTCCATTATAAGTTTCGCCGGCTCATCGGGCTTCTTCTCATCCCCTCCTTCTCTCTTCTCTTCTCTTCTCTCTGTCTCTTGTTCGACGTTCTCTCGTTTCCATATCGCGGCCGCGTCCGTTCGGCCAGCACGTCGGCTCCTACAAATTGCTGCGGCCGTCGCACTCAGTAGTACTTATTCCATCAGCGGAATGATTCATCTTTTTCCGGGTATAATGTATTCCGCGTTTTCAGCCTTTCCGTTCCACGTTTTATTTTCTCCCCTCTCTCTTTCCATCTCTTCCGTTCTCTCCGTTCCACACCTTCCATCGTCTTTTTCGTTCACTCTTTCTCTCTTCTTTTTCTTCCTCTCCCCTCGCACGTTCGCACCCGGCATCCTTGCACGCGCGCGTGACGACCAAGTTTCAGTTGTCACGCGTACTCCTCTCGCCCATTAATTAACAGCTATCGCGCGTTCGTTTATTTCACAACGGCGGTGTCGGCGGTTTGCGACAACGCCCGGGCAAAGAGAGTAGCTCGTCGTGTATTCGGGATCGCGTGAGTTCCCTCGCATATCAAATGAAACCGGGATTGTCGGCGTCTTTGTGCCCGGTCTGGTTTGTTGAATTGCGAGTTAATTCGCCAGTTGTCATGCAACTTTTCGAGGAGGGAATGAATACATTCGCGATCATGTATCAGCGACAGGATATAACAATTGTCAGATAGATCAAAAGAAAAAAAAATTGGTACGTTTGATTGCCCGCATCAGGTTGGTTATATTCGAAAAATTTCGATACACACAGTGAAAAACTGTAGTAGCTCATAGCTCGTAGCCGCTCGGACTAAAAATCATCTAGCGGATCGTTTACCCCGTGTTTATCGACAAATCGAGCATAGAACGGATGACGTTGGTGGTTTGATTCTCGTAGCGGTTATATGTTTGGCCTGTCAAAATTGAACAGAAACAACACTTGTTTACTCAATAGTGCCCACCGTTTGCCACGTCGTTTATTTTTTTTATGAAAGTAGATCAAAAAATGCACAATGCCTTTAAGTTCAAAAAATACCAGCGTACAAACGTACTAAAAATGTCGTTGTACAAAAAGGAAATTGATTTTGTCGAATTTATAAAACCTCATGCAAACGTGAACACTGTTATTAAAAAAGTTTATCAAAATGTAACAAATTTTATTGATAAAAATTTTTTTACAAGATTGTTTCATCAATGAATCACAATTAAATTTCGCAAATAAATAACAAGCCTTAGGGAAATTCTAATTTGAGGAAAACTTGAATTTAACTCGAAGACTAAGACTGCAAAGCTCAGTTTCAAATAATTTATCATATTCGGCCTCTCATAATAGAAACGTGGTGAACGTCTCGACGTCACGGCAATCGCATTTCTTTCCATTGCAGCCGCTATTATCCGCGGCTCGCGGAAAACTGCGCGACGTGCGATACACCCAGTATAGATACCGCGGTTATAGATGGCCGCGCGATTCGGGCAACAAATATTCGAGTATCTCTTTTCCTCCGAGAAAACGCGCCCAGGGGTCCAGACAGGACGTGACCAAGATAACGAAACGATGCGTTCTATTCCGCCGGCTTCGTGGTGAAGTCAACGCCCGGCATTTTAGTGGCACCGAAATCTTGAGACCGCTTCCTGAACTTTCAGGTATACGTGTAGGTATAGATATAGCAGCCGGCGTGGCAGCACACCGGAGATCCGAAGCGGTAACGTTTTCTCGTTCGAGTATATCTTCCTTTTATGCGGCGCGATACGCTGCACGTGGTGCACATCGAGCATCGCCTGCCAAGAAATATTTATTAGACCGTCGTCGCGTTGAATTCGTACGAGCCTAACGATGCGCTTCTGATCCGCCACGAGACATGAAGGAAGTATATACAATATAATCGCGATATTGTACATATATATACCATATTTACTCGATGAAATTAAATTAGCGAATAACTTTGTTACAATATAAAAAAGGTATTTTTTAATTCTGTAATATTAAAAAAAATTAATATAAAGACACAGGTATAAAGAGAATCTTGTATAAAAATCGAAAACTAAGCTAATAAAATATTTGTTCTTTTATATTAAATAATATTATAGTTTTTATTTATTGTAACGCAAAATTACAGCTACAATGTGGCATATAGTTGCATTAGCGACGTAGAAACCAAGAGATGTTTAATAACGCAATAATATGTCCTATCACCATATTTTACGCTATGTAATTTATTACACGTATAATCCGCACATAAAAAAAAGTCGGGTTTTGTTTTTACTTTCGTCGCAACCATTATCTTATGTACGCTCATGTTCTATAAAACAATACGGCGGCTCATTCTTGGGGTTTCATTGGTCGACGCGCCCATACGCCATACTTATGCTCTTATGTAAATTTGTATGCGATGGGCTTTTACGCTCAGCTTCCGCAGTACGGTTTTTTCCTTCCGTCGCTTCCATGGCAACGCATTAAATCGATGAGGGATTGCGACGTTTTTGTCGTGCTTACTTCGCGTCATTATTTATACGTTTGTTCTTGTACCGCGCGTAATTTCCGCACGCGAGCGGAAAGTCTGGAAGGAAAAATCGATTAACGCGCGCGGCTGGCGGCGCCGAATTTTAAGGCGGCGCGCGTCACGCGTGACGGCGGTCTAATATTGCAAGAGGAATTTATAGCAAATAATGAGAATGTGAAGAATAATGTAGATTCAAGTCATCGAACAATCAATTTCAGATGAGAGCAGAAGAAAAATGCAGAACATTCTGTTATAATTACGCTTGTCAGCTGCCGCGAAATGCGAGCTTATTTCGTTTTTAAGTTTCGCTTTAACTTTCCATTTAGCGCACTCAGAATCATTAACATTGCGCGTAACCACAAGCGAGACAATACTTGAAATAGTATAATTGCTTTTTAATGGAAATATCTCAAACTTGCCTTGCAATTTATTCCCACCCGTGCTCGCCCTTTTGTCAGCTCGCTCACCGAAGTTACGGATAGATATCGGTTTGAACGCCATCACTGCTAGTCGAGCGGCCGACAGTGAGAGAAACCGCCGCGCACGAAACTGCGGCGCGGCATTTATCTAGCTAACTGAGCCGTGTCTGTCGCCTGGAATTGCGATTCGTGTCCCATTGTACTTAAACAGTCCGAAATGTCGCCGCTCGATTTAATTTCGGGATACCGGCAACTATTTCCATTTACGAGATTTATGTTTACCGTCGTGCGCCGCGCCTCGCGCAATTGCTCGTCCGCGGAAAATATCCGTGTCAGGAAATTTTACGACACTCTATTGCGCCGCGACAAAGAGAGAGAGAGAGAGAGGGAGAGAGAGGACGGATTTGTTAATGTTTATTAACTTTCCGGAGCGACGGGCGAAAATTCTCTTACGCGCTGGCGAACTTTGGAGCGACTTAGAAGTTACCTTCGCAGCGTGTTCCAAGTAAAGCACGACAGAGACAATTCTGTGCCCTCCGGCAGGATAATGTTAAGTGCCACCGAAGTGCAGTTTGACGTTTCATCCATTAGGTACAATGTCTAACGTTGTCTATGAGTTCTTCAAGAATGTACATATTTGGAGCCTTAAAAAATATTCATTAGATGAAAAGTACGAGTGAGAAGACTGCGAGAATCGAGATTAACGTGGACATTTTATTAAATCGAATCATCGATTATCCACGATATGTGACAAATTAATAACATTTCTATAAATACGATGTGTAAAATACATTTCACGTTATCCTTTTCGCTATAAAATATCGCGCGGTTATCATTAATCTGAGAATTTCTCGGGCTTGCATTCAGCATTATACCACTCTGTTATTTTACGCATAGAATTACGTAGTGCGCTCACTCATGCTGAGAGCTTGTTCGATATGTTTCCAAACATGACTATGTTCTCATCCGTGACTTGATTCCCACGTGAATCTGCCGCTACCGTTCCCGCGGCCGTTTCGCGTAGATGCGTTCAGCGTCGCGACGTCGAGGAATTCTCGCGCGGAATGGCCAAATGCACGATTATGCGACGACCGAGAATACAAATATCTTTATGAATTTAAAATAGCTCCCGTAAATTTTGCGAGAAAGTACGGCGCGATATGTCGGCGGTCCTCGCAGACTGTGTGTGTTTTCTCCCCCTCGGCGCTTCCACCGATTCGTCGGAAAATTTATTCGTCGGCAGTCTATCGCCATCAGAACAATAACGAGCCAAAATAAGTCTCCAGATACGAACTCTAATTCATATATGACCTCTCTTGATGTATGCTGGTAGCAAATGAAGCACATCACTGGCGCCAGGAACAAGTCCGATTGCTTGGTACTCTGATTCTCCATGAAGGGAACATAACGTTTCACGCTCGCAGCGACACTGAAATTTAATAGCAACGATAAGTTTTTACAAGCATCTTTACATAGCGATTTAATTTATTCTATATTTCCAGACATTATTTTCACAGAATGTAATTTATTTTGTACTTTATCATATTCATGCTTGCGTTTTCATAATTTGATATATCTTTCTATTTTTGTGAAATTACAAAATATATATTGGATATATTTTTTTTACATCTGTGGAATTACAAAAATATCATTTCGCTAATAATTGCACAACGATTTTATTCACTATTTACTCAATTTTCTGAAATTATTTACCAGAATTCATTATTCTCGTTTTACCATTGCAATTCTCATAAGAGAATCTGATTTAAATATCACATAAATCTGATATTCTCGTGGTAAATGCACTTAGCTGTATACAATACCTTATCTGTAATTGTTTATCACATTGTAAATTAGAGAGGAAGCAAAAAGAGGAAGTCGTATTTAAATACTTCGGTCTGCAGGTCCACCGCCATAATTATTTTTCTGGAAGATCGATTTTCCGATCGACGTTAGCACCGGAACGTTTACAACGTTTTTATCGTCGCTCCGTCGATACTTTAGTAATTTTATTATATTATTGCTGCGCGATATACTTTTACGAGGATGTATAATGTACTGCGAACCAGTGAGGGCAGCGAGTAACGGGAGTAGAAAAATCCACCATGTGCGAATTACGTCGTAATCCGTGCCTAAAAAAAAAAAGACATAAAACTACTATACGGCGGGCTTTTAAGGTCTTCGGCGCGAATGAACGAACCCTCGTGCCCACTCCGTCGGGGGTGGCACGTGCCTGACCATTGAAATCGGGAAATCATAATCGCGAAAAGTTCTTAATGCGACCGCCATCTGGTCCACGCGGCGCATTGTGTTCGGCGGACGCGGGCGGGCGAGCGCGATGAGTGATAACTGCTCGGCGAGAGGAAAAGTACTAAATTCCTGCGGCTCCGCCCTTGCCGAGTTCTCACGCCCGGAAACGCGTCTCGTCCAACGACGGGGGTTGCGAGAAGTTAGCCAGGTCGTCGTTCTTCGGAGATGTTTAACTGCGACGCGAGGGGAACGCGACGCGAAGGAGACCCGAGAGAGAGAGAGAGAGAGAAAGAGGCGGTAAAGAGAGGAAGAAAGGCAAGCAGGCGGGCAGGCAGGCATGCCGCTGCTGGGTTGCGAGCGAGGAACGTCGTATAACGCCGGTCGAGGAGCAGCAGGTGTTCGCTGCCATGGGTCCCTCTCTCGACAAACGCGTACACACAGCTTGCCCCGGCAATTTCTTTCGCCTTCGCCTCGACCCCCGAAAATGATTGGTCGCACCTTGCATCGGTTATGCAGTTTTACTGCGTGCCGCCGCCGCCGCCGCCACCGCGCGCGCGCGCGCGCGCGCACACGTATACAGCCCGGGCTCCCGAAACCCGTGCAGAAGCTAATAATTTCGGGATCCGGATCGGGCCGGGCGAAAAATAGAGACGGACGTGTTGAGACGCCTCGTCCCTTCGTGGAAGAGAAAAGAGTGGCGTGTTCACGTGCGCGCGGAACTCGCCGCATACGATCGGCGTCCATTAGAAAGCCATCTCTTCTCGTAAAAGGCGAGAGAGTAGGTAATAGCGCGGCGGGGAGAATCTTAACTTTTTAACGGGGAGATGATAATGAACGGTTACGGGTTTCTCGATCGGCCGGTAATTGCGTTTGCGCCGTTGCGCGAATTAACGTCCGGCCGTTTTTTTAAATTACGCACGTTTTTGCGCCTCGTTGTCTTAACATTGTCGAGGATAGGAGATAACATCGCCCGCGCATAATTAAACTACCGGTCATCCCCGCTGTATATACAATTTTACATAATCTGACTTTGATAAATACTCGGCACGCCGTGCACGTAGTGCAAGAAGTCGCGCCGTAACAGCGGGAAAATGGAATCAAAGAGCGAATCGAATTTTAAATTGAAAACTCGCTCGTCGAATCACCTGGGAGTTATCGCTTGGGGGCAGGTATTCTTATCTCTGGCATTATACTTTCTTCGAGAACGCCGGTTGTTAGCTATAATCCGGTTCATCATCCAGTCTTACGTATTCGCCATTACAATGTCAGTAAAGCGGATAATTAAAAGTCAATCTTCTAGCAAAATATCATTAATTCTAGGGCATCCTTGAGAGACATTCTAATTGTCCGTCATTAGAGGCGACAGATCGCCCTTTGAAAGTATACAGTTCGAATAAAAAAAAAATAAAAATAAAAAATCTTAAAGTTCTTTGACAGCTGAAGAAAACGTATGGGTTTTATTGGACCCCGGGGGCGGCCAGAGCGTTGAATGCGGGATTAATAAAGTCAACGCTCGTGACGCTCGTGACGCTCGCAGAATCGCGGGGCGGCGATTTAATGGAATTGCGATGATGGCAGTCAGAGGCGAGCCACGTGGCAAACATACGCGCGCGATTCATCACGGGATGCCTGCATGTTTTATGCCATCGAATGTCGGGCGACAGTGTTAAATCATCGCTCCTGCGCGCATGGCCCACTGGCACATTTCGCTATTGTTTGTGTATGAGCGTGTGTGTGTGTGTGTGTGCGAGCGATCGGTAACGCGTTTCACGCTCGGCGGGTATGCGTTTCCGGCAGAACGTGTACCAGTTATGAAATGTAAAAGAGCGATTCCGCCGCAAATTATCGAATGCCCGGCGGCGACTTTGCGCGGGGAAAACGCGCGTGACGGAATCGTTCGGCGGAATTCTCTCGGGTCGCGAGAAACGCTTTAGCCCATCGGTACTCGTCATGCATCATTGAAATGCTATCGCGCAGAATTGATTCGGTTTTCGATATGATTTCTCGTTGTCATGTAAGTAAACCTCGTCTCGGAATTGAAACTTGCAGATGGAATTATTTCCCTGCGGTGCTTGACGATCGCTCGAGATGGAGTTTGCTTTGATTTATTTACATATTAAAATAACGTGTAACGGAGTGAACGCATATAAGATGTTCATGTGTAAACTGCACTTTTGAGATTATTCCGAGCTGAAAAGCGTAAATTCGATAGATAACGCTTGGTCGATTAAGGAAATTTATGCTTTAATTGATGATTATTTATTTCGGAAGTATAAGACGATTTGATTGCATATTTTCGGCGGATTTAGATTTTTCATTAAAAGAATTTCCATTGAAATTCCTGTAAATCCGTAATTGCGATACAATCATTTTATTGAAGTAAACAATGTAATAAAATTCGAAAAGGAATTCACAAGCTGCGCTCGATCGAGAGGAATTCGTATGTCTCAATCTCATTGTTCGCGCGGTGATTTGATCTTCGCGCGATGCACTTAAAAGATTTTCGCGAGACATCCCGCCTTTGGCGCAAAGAAAGTCCCCGGCTGGCGTAATTGCAATTGGACAAACAACGTCAGAAGTCTCCTTTCTGCTTCGATCCTTCTGTTTTCCGCTCCCCTCTCCCCGCGTTTTTGTTTCACCAAACCCCTCGACGTTTGTTTTTTGCTCCCTTTTCCTCTGCGTCGCCCTTTCCGTCGTTCTGTCTTTATCTGTCTCACCATCCATCTCTTTTTCTCGCTCTATCTCACCGTGTCGTTGCACCAACTGGAATCTGATCGTAAAGGTCAAAACGACTGTCTCTGATTGATTTACCCACGGTCAATACACGGTGAAGAATTGTTTGAGAGCACCATCGATTCCGCTTCCCTTCCTCCTCTCTCTCTCTCTCTCTCCCCCTTTTTTTCTCTCTCTCTCTCTCTCTCTCTCTTATCCCGAACATCCAATTCCCGTATCCAATGGAGAGCTTTCCCGGCGAACAGTACTTATTCCTGGCGCTATCGTTCAACCTGGAATAACCCCTCCGGTCGTTCCGGATTGCTGCGAACGTTCCTTCTTCCTTCGATCGTACATTAACCGTTTGCGTTCTCCCGCGAAACGCGATCCAACTTCTTCTCTTGCCTTCGCCAAGGCCGCCGTCGCGTCCCCCGTCGTGTCCCCCGTCGTCGTTCTCCGTCGGACTACTCCGTTTACCGTTTCCCCCCTTCCTCCTCCGCCGTCTCCTCCACGGTTTTCTCCTCCCGCATCCGTCGCGAATCGGGAGAGTAGTTAGTGCGGGGATCACTTCCTTGGGTACCTGCATCGCAACTCGAATCATCTCAGCCCATTTCCGAATAACCGTATATTTCCGCCCGGACGGCCCCTTGTTTCCGCGAATGTTCTCGATAACGGCGGGAGCGCGCGCGCGCGCGCACGCTGGTGAGATTGCGGTAAAATATTACGGAACCGACGGTTTTATGAGTCACGTCAGAAAGGGATAAACTGCGACTGTTCCGTCATTTTGGATTCCCATCCGCCGTTATCTGCCGCCTATTATCTGCAACCTCTCTCTCTCTCGCTCTTCCTCTTTCATCCGCCGTCGCCGCGCGCTATTGTCATACGGAAACGTATGACCGCGCGCAGTTCGGTCGTCGCAGTCGGCTTGCATCGCGTGATTTGTGACGCTCGTCGAAGAGAAAGTTACGCACGAATGCGAGAATCTGTCTGTTTACGCGTTTTGTCCCGGGCGCGGACGAAGAGCAATTTCGTTTGACGTCGCACTGACTTCGCTCCGAATGGATCGCCGACAATTTCGGTAGCGCCGAACGAGCTCGCCGTATCGCGGAGTTTCGCGGAGCGGAAGCGAAAAATAACGTGCCCAGAGGGCCCAGACACAATAAAATGCCGGATGGTTCAGACTGCGTCCCTTCCAACTTTTGAATACGTTGAAATAAACGATTTCCCTCCTACGATTTCTGGGGGGGGGGGGGAGAAAAAAAATATCTTCCTCGGAAGAGATCATCAATTTAATCTAGCATCGTTACGCTGGCATTCCGCTCACGAATTGCTTTCCCGAACTTCTTTCGAAAGAAAAACGAAGGATAATTTTCTCCCGATTCACTTTCGCGTGACAATTTTTTTTCAACTGACAATCAAACAGCTGAAGAAATCAGACGTCGGACCGTAAACGTCACGAAGTAATCTGCAACGAGCAAAAGAACAAATATAACATTGCCAATACACAAACAGACAATAATAACAATAGAAGAACAAAGACAAATACCCGACTCAACGTCTACGAAAGGCATCAAGAGTGATTTCGACATTATATGATTGATTACAAATAAAATCTAAAGACCATAAAGGGAAGAATATCCGTTGAAACGAATGTCTGCGTTCTCTATCGACACATTGTTTACCCGTGGAATGAAAAGTTATATTTGCTCCTTCTTTCTTTCTCTTTATTCATTTCCTATCGAGTCAGCAGTTATTCCCCGCGCGCTTGGTATATATATATCCCATTACTCGCGCAATGTAATTTGTTATAAGAAATGTTTATCGAGTTATCGTCTCATTCGGACACCCGGCTATTTCTCTCTTCTCCGTGAAGCACTTTACATTTTCCGGAAACATCTCAATTGAGGATGAACGTGTGCTTTCTTGAGTTTCGTGATTGCGATGCCAATGATGAACATGTTTCTGCATTCTCGGACAACCAATTTCCAGCTACCCCGTCGGGGTAGTAATTATTTCCTCGAACTCAATGGAGGGAATGGCATACCGCGAAAACTTTTCCAGCCCCTACGTGGGTACGAAGTTACTTTCCGAACTTTTGCATAATGCTGACCGGGGGACGACGGCGTGCACGTGTGCGTCCGTGTGTACGTCGATCGTATAAGTCCCCGCA